GATAAAGTTACAAATATCTGAAGACCTTCAAACTGACTCAGTTTCTTGCGTTCCTTTCTCCTACTCAAGGTTGACCGAACTTCGTATGGACGACGAAGCTTAGTGGTAAATGTCTTACTTATATACATAATAATTTTCTATCCCGGTGCATTTTCATCCCGTTGAATTTTCCAGAAGCCATTGTTTTCTTTTTCATCTTTCTATTGTACCCCAGAATCTTGTGTATAAGTCGATTTTTAAAGATCAGTTTTTAAGGTGAAAACAAGTACAGTCATGTTCAGTTGGGTACGAAATAATGCCCAAGGTTGACTAACACTCACATGGAAGACAAAATTCATTGTAATTTTTTCCCTTATATGTGTGTTATCTATTTGCTAGTGGCCGAGTTGTTAGAATGTTCGTTTTCCAACAACAGTTCGAATTTCACCATGGTCGATTTGTCAGAAAGGAGAATTGTAATCGGTAGACATCTTTGAAAAGTGTCTGAAAAACATAATACTGGCTGACACAAGTCTTGTAAGGGAAATTGGTTAGACTAAATTTTTCCTCAACGGTTGTGTTAGCACAGATTCATAGTCACGTGACGGAGGGCTTGATCATGCTAGTTGATGCATTACATTAACGGAAGTAAGTATAACACCCCATGAAATTTTAATAATTTTCTTATTACTGCATAAATTCCTCTGAGAATTTGTGTGTGGTACCTAGATTCGATGGGTATTAGTATACGTATTCGATTTTATAACAACTTTCCACTAAAAACAAAGTTATTCACAAACATACGTTTTCGAGGGTGGAAATAATTATAAGACAAATTTGAAAATTTGCATATCTGGTTTTTCTTCAGAATGCCACAAGATGAAGAAGCGCATGCGCAGATTATAAAAAATGACTCTCATCATGATTTTAAGCCAATTTAGTTCTATTTAAACATTTCATAATTGAATACAGTTACTGCAAAATGCCTAGGAATTCCTCCCCACTAATAAAAATGAAAAAGGGCAAATTTCTGCCTATAAACTGGAAGGAAAATCTATATGTTTTATTGCAAGCGAACTGTCGATTCCCCGAACAGTTGTGAGAAATTATCTAAAGGACCCTGAATCGTATGACACCAGAAAACGTCCAGGTCGTCCACATAAAATTACAAATGCAGCCAGACGTCGACCTTTTCGAGAAGCTTCTAATGGACAATCAAGTTCAAGAGATCAGCAAAAATCTCAGAATTTACCCATCACTTCAAAAAGACTTCTCCATGAATCGCCAAATCTCGTGTATCGAAACAGGAAGACAGCCCCTGATTTAACTTCCAAGATGATGCACGTTGATTAGGTAAAGAAAAAAGTAAAATGGACACAGGAGAAATTGGAAACTAGGGTGTTTACTGATGAGAAAAAGTTTAATTTGGATGGGCCCGACGGCTACCAGTGTTATTGGCATGATTTAAGAAAGAAGAAGCAGATGTTTTCAAAAAGACCCGTGAAATCAATGTTTCCCAACCTTGGTGATATCAGCCACTGGTGGGCGATATCAGTTGTTGGGTAGGCAATGAGCATCTGAACAGAAAATACTGGGCGATTGGAAATTTTAGTTGGCGATATTGAACTTTGAATATTTAAAAAGATATTTCCACCTATGCTACTCAAAAACAAAGGATAAACCAAAAAAAAACCGCTGAAAACTAAATGGGAATAATTGGGTCACATTAAATATATATATATATATATATATATATATATATATATATATATATATATATATATATAATTTTACTTATAAGGTAAAATATAAAGATATAAATATCCCCGCGAACATGGAATATTTTGTTATTTTCTACGATTTTGCGATGTGCCAATAACATTAAAATATTAGTAATCAACCATTCGCCCTTGCATGGAATATTGCTGCCATATATGGTCTAGAGCCCTTTCTGTTGGTCTCAAGGTTCTTGATAAAATCCAGAGATGGATAAGCAATGTAATTGGCCCTGATCTGGCATCTCGTCTGTAGTCGCTCTCTCACAGACGTGGCATCGCCTCCCTCTGTCTTTTTTACATTTTCATGGTAACTGCTCCGATAAGTTGGTTTCGCTGGTTCCCAGACTTCATGAATTTACGCGTTCTACCAGGCTGGCATCTCGCTCACACCCTTTCACTGTCGAAACTGTTAATTTTTCAAGATATCTAGTGAGATAATATTATACAAGGGAGAGTGGATTCCTGCCTTTGTGTTAAAAGTAAACTTTGACAGAGCAGAATTCCAAACTCAGAAACATATTTCCTTTTGACGAGCTCGTAATAACTCTTTCGATGGGACTCTCTCACGTATCTGTGACAAATTAATTTTGATAGACATGCAAGTATACGAACCTCTGAAGATAATTGAATGCGTGGATATGACAAGTGCTGGCCTATTGATGATCCGTTGATAACGAGGAACATTCGGAATCAATCATTTAAAACTTATTCGTGCATCAAATATGAATCAGCTTTGGGAGTTTCAATTCAAATGAAAATAACTTCTTTCTCTCAGAGATTGTGAAACGCACTCCTTTTAGCTAATGAGCGTATATATATATATATATATATATATATATATATATATATATATATATATATATATATTTTTGTTTGAATAAAAAACTGACCACTTTAAGGTTCCATGTAATAAATTATTTCACCACAGCCCTTTTAAAGGGCTCTGGATCATCAGACTTTACTTCCAAAGGTTGAAATGAAAAATGAAAAGACATTTACACATTTTCGACGGGCCGTATTAGGCATATGTAAATTAACGAAGTGAGAAAATGAGGTGGGAGAGAAGGCGAAGTGAGGAAGTGAGGGGGGAGAGAGAGAAGACATGAGTGAGTTAGATGTACCATTTCAATTCTTTATCCCTAACCCCACTTGGTGTGGGCTAGACAAACGCTTCACTAGACTTATGTTATCTTTAGATATGGATGGGTAAGTGGTGAAGAGGAAAGCTGACATAAAAGGAAGACGATACAATAAAACAATCCTGATGAGAGAAGGTTTCACTTAATTTCTTGGACGCTGTTATTTTGTGTTACTTTAAAGAGTATATTTGGGAGTTAAAGTTTGATATAATTTTAAATGGTATTTATCAATTCACCCACAGGAATTGAATGTGGCACAAGGCCTTTTTAATGTGGGTATGTCTGAGCCCGTAGGCCCAGCCAAAAATAAAACCCATCTAAACCCGTCCAAGCGGGCTAGTTCCGTCAACCTCCCCGAACTAAACCCCACCCGCAGAATAAATCCATGGAGACTGTTTTAAATCATTATTAAGAATCTCGAATTTAATTAAAATGACATAAAAGAGAATATAAAATGGAAGATTAGAGTGATATCAAATGAATATGAAACATCTATTGATAAAGAGATAGATAAAAATACTGTGTGATACTACATGTAGAGTGACTCCATAGATCGATCGATATGAACAGACGCACACATACACACACACACATATGTTTAGTTGAATAATCTGGACATATTATGTCTATTTTTATTTTAATTCTTTCTAATTCACGGATCAATTTCTTAATGTTATTGTTAAAACTCATTATATATATATATATATATATATATATATATATATATATATATATATATATATATATATATATATATTTGGATTGGTGTGAGTTTGTGACCCTGAGTTTAGGAGGCTCTCTGTGATCGTCAGACAAATTTGTCTGACGATCGCAGAGAGCGTGAAACCTAGGATGATAAACACATCAATCTAACTAAATATGTTACGTGTATCACTGATATTGAGCGCTTTCTTATAAGTTCCGCGCATATATAATATATAAATGATATATATAATTCATAAATTTGCAAATATATATATATATATATATAAAATATATATATATATATATATATATATATATATATATATATATATATATATGTGTGTCTGTGTGTGTATGTGTGATAGACATGAATAGACTGAGATAGATAGATAGATAGATAGGTAGATAGATAGATAGATAGATAGATAGATAGATAGATAGATAGATAGATAGATAGTTTTTAAGGTAGTGTTGAAAGTCCATATCTGGATTATGATTATTTTCGGTTTTGGTTCTAGACATTTCAGTTGTTGCCGCTGCTGGAAGTTTTCAAATGATGTGTTTTCTTCTTCTTATATAATACACTTCTTTGATTGGTAGTTTGTAGCACCTGTCTATGCAATCGGATGAAGGCTTTTATTTTTTTTAAGTCCTAGAGGGCTCTTTCGCTTGATGTCATTTTAATTATTAATCCTAGGAAAAGGTCGTATATTGCTGATAGATTGGACACTACTGAATGTATTAGATGCCGTGCATGGTATCCATATTAAAGATTTGATAGGTGAGGCTATTTAAGGAGATTAGTCTAGTTGTAAGGTTAAGCAGAATCTTGCAATGTTGTAGAAAACTGCCCATAGCATAGCCCATCCGATGTTCGGATTCATCTCATGTACTATTTTTTTAATATATATTTGATCCATAGAGAGATTGATGGATATGCATAGACTGAAATAGATAGATAGATAGATAGATAGATAGATAGATAGATAGATAGATAGATAGATAAAAAAGAGACCGAAATAGATAGATAGATAGATCTAATATACATCAAATATGGATCGGAATCCGCAAGAACGTTAAGATAATAAAAGGCAGATAGGTAGTTAGATAAGATTAGGCTGTGATATATATATATATATATATATATATATATATATATATATACACGTAGAGACAACGAGAGATAGAGAGAGATAGAGAGTCAGATACCTACCTAACATCACCCTTTTTTCTAAAATCATATTCCTTTAATGACATCCCAATAGTTGTGTTCTTGAATGAGAGAAAGATTATAGGATAATCTCCCCTTTCTTTGTACCCTATTCATAAAGAGCACATTGCATTAATGTCTGTAAAAACTAACAGAGAAAATGTATAATCAGCAATTATAGGCGTCAAAATGCGGAGGTCATGATACTACAGAATATTTCTTTGAACGTTCAAGAGTTAGGACCAAATGGCTGAAATACGAAATTCCTGTCCAAGGCCAACATTAAATACGTTTCAATTTTTGCAATAGGGGATTTTACTTTGTGAAGGCAATTAAAGTGATGAAGAAACATGTCGCCACACTGTAAGACGTTTTTCTTTTAAATATATCATTTCCGCTGTGTTAAGCTAAAAGTTTCCCACTGCTGAAGACGAAATTTTGCATTTAATATCATTTTTGTGGCGGCCAATTTGGAGATATCAACTTCACGCAGATGCAGAAGTCTAAATATCTGGAAAGAATTTTTATCAAGGGTTGGAAAATGCACTGATATCCGAGCATGCATTAGACGTAGAAAAGAAGTATTCCAAAGGCTACGCATGGTGCTGAAAAACGGAAGAATTTCGTTAGCAAAAACGAGAAGAGTGTTAAATTACTGTGTCGTATGCATCCTCTTGTACGGCAGTGAACGCTGGATAATCTCCGCACGGATGAGTGGAAAACAAGGGACAACGTAAATGTGGTTCTACAGAAGGATAATGAGAATTTCATGGACGGAGCGAGTAAGCAACAATGAACTCTTAAAGATTTTGGCAAGAGAAAGAAAACTTCTCAGAAACAGGAAAAGACAGATGAAATTCCATGGACACATACCGATATTGGTAGGCTTGAAAAGATTGACACTCACGGAATATACTGGGTATAAGAGAGAAGGCAGCGAGAATCGTATCTGACGAGCTTATGTGAATTGGTCTGGGAACGTTTGGCGGGAACATTTTCAAATGGAGAAAAGCTGCTAAGTACCACAAGAGATAGGAAAATTTTGGAGAGCTATGATAGAGTATGTCTCGTAAGTACGCGGCATATAGAAGAAGAACAAGAAGAAGTGGTGGAGGACGGTGTTCTTAGTAGAAAGCCGAAGCATCTATAAATTCAGAGGTTAAGATAAAGACTTTTTTCCCAAACAGGTGAATAAAAAGACGAGAATTATTTAACATTTATCCCTTTGTATGTGATTTCATTTTCTGTACAAACATTCTATCCTGTCCTGAACTTGAATTTCATAGTTGTGTTGATATATCCTTCTATGGCAACAAAAAACACCTTTGAGTGAAATTAATAATAAGGAATACTGCAATTGAGTTGAAAAAAGTGCAGTGGAAGGGGAAGTAATATTATTAATACAGAGTGCAACAGGTTAACAACGATATCTTTGATGGGGATCTATACCTTTTGGCAAGTTAATTGAAACAAAACGAATAATTCCGTTATTATTTACTTTTTTTTCGTATTTTCCCAATGAAACATGACCCAGTACATATATTAGTATTCACTATATCCATTCCACAAAGTCTTTCCTTGCAGATTGACCATAGATTGTCAATTGAATTTAAATCAGGAGAGTTTCCAAGCCAGTCGATAGTACTTTGATTTGCTCATTGGTAAAAATTGCCATTGTGTTCGTGCAGCGTTAAAGTTTTCAGTCGGGCCAATAGTGCCTGGGTGTGATGAAAATCTGATGGATGACTCAATAGTTTTCAACGCCAAACAAATTTACACTGAAAATAGATTCATATTACTGCACACCACTGCAAATGACCTAATTTGAGGCAAAAAATAGAGATAGATTACACCCTGTCACTGGATTGGGTTTAAAACTGACCGTACCATGAAAGAAAGGAAATTAAAGCGGTTGTTTCAATTAATTTGCAAAATGGTGTATTTGGAAAAAAAAGAAAAAATAACGACAGTGTTTACCTAGCGTCTCTCTTTTAAATTTAAACTGCTTATTATTATTATTATTATTATTTTATTTCCTTTGATATCTGATGTGTACTCATTTCTTTCCGGGTCCCGCCAAGAGAACTAACGTTAGAAATGGCATCATGACATTTTCCACTGGAAAAAAAAATAACATAGACAAAGCACTTCGTAGATGTGTGGGCTGTACTCATGAGAACAATTTTTTTGTATTTCTTTAAGACATGGACTGTCAGGGATCCCTTCAATTAGTCTTTGGAATCTTTTCCAACTAATCCTAGGGCTCCAACTACAACGGGGATTGTTGATGTTCCCATGTAGCATGTTTTTTGAGATTTCGATTTCAAGGTCCTTGTATTTTGATAGCTTTTTGAAGATCTTCAAATGTACGGCCATATCAATAAAGGGGCACCTTTTTTTTGTGTGCGATCTCTAATAACAATGTCTAGGTGGCTAGTTTTGATTGTTCTGTCTGTGTGTATTGTGTAGTCCCATAAAATTGTAACAGGTCCTATCTCCGTAACCAGGTCTGGGCGGTGTTCATACCATTTCTTTTAGTTTCCTTCCCGTAGTAGTTACGGATTTTCCAGTGCAGATATTGTCCAAGTCTGTCATGTCGGGTTTTATATTCAGTGGGTGCCAATACCGTGCAACCAGATACAAGATGATCGATTGTTTCTGGGTATCACAGAACCTGCATTTTGGGCGAACACAATATTTTAGTATGTGTGCTTGATAATTTCAGGTTAACAAGCACTGGTCCCGTGCAGCAAGGATAGTCTTCCGTTTCAGCTTTTAACCCTGCACTACGTACCCACTGATAGATGCTTTCTTTTTTTATAAATTTTGAATTTTCAATCGGTGTATTGTGCTTTACTTGTATTTCCGCATCCATTTGAAACTTCATTTTGAATTTGTTAGCTACTTTTATCACGGAATAAAGGCGCTTACAACTCTCATGTTCTTTGACACATATCATCATCTAGTCGTCTGTTGTTTCCAGGTATCTTTCAAAGCCAATAATTGTAGATTTGTAGGACAGTTTTAGTTGAACTAATCCTCTGCCTTCTTCGGATCTGGACACATACAGACGATCAACGTCAGCTTTCGGATGATGCCTGTGGTAGCAAGTGAGAAGCTTTCTCGTTTTTGCGTTCATTCCCTTAATGTCAGCTGTAGACCAATTAACGACGTTAAAGCTGTATTGCACCACAGGGACAGCCAAGATGTTTATGGCCGCTATTCGTTTTTTTTTTAGTTCAGCTCAGTATTTAGTACCAGATGCACACGCCTCTAGTACTCATTTCTTACCTTCTCTATTTGAGTATGTTGTGTACCATCTCCTTCGCTAATTCCAAGGTACCTATAGGCTTCATTTTGTTCTAGCTCCCTAATCTTTGTGACAAAGTTTAATTCTATTGTGGTTGTTTCTACAAATCTCCCTTTCTTGAATGTTACTTCTGCTCATTTATCTAATTCGAAGTCCATAGCTATGTCGTCACTGAAACATTTTAAATAGTGTGGATACCCTTCAACTCATGGCCGTTTTTGGCAAAGAGTTTGAGATCATCCATGTAGAGTAGGTTATTGAATATTTTTGTCTAGTTTGTAGCCATAGCTCCTAGATCATGCGTAAGGTGGATTAACGACAACCAAAACAGAAGAGATGAGAGGGAGCTTCCTTGAAAGATTCCGCGTCGGATATTCAGACGGTTGGAGATAGCAGTGCCTCTGGTGGGATTTAGGTATAGTGTGGTGTTCCACATGTCCATGCCGTGCTTAAGGAAATTTACTCCCAAGGGGAAACTTTGTACATTTCCAAAGTCTTAATGATCCAAGAATGTGGCACACTATCAAAGGCTTTACGATATTCAATCCACTCTGCTCTAAGATTTCTACAACATCTCCTGGAATTTTCCAGGTCATTTTGTTTATCAGAAGTTGATCTTTGCAACCATATGAACCTCTCCTGCATCCCTTCTGTTCCAGGGGAAGAATGTTGTTTGTTGCGAAGAAAGAGTAAGTTCGGTTCGTCAGAAAAGACGTGATCAACGTGGTGGAGAGACCTTATTATTATTATTATTATTATTATTATTATTGTTGTTGTTGTTATTATTATTATTATTATTACGACTACTACTACTATTACTACTATTATTATTATTATTATTGTTGTTGTTGTTATTATTATTATTACTACTACTACTACTACTACTACTACTACTACTATTATTAATATTATTATTTTTATTATTATTATTATTATTATTTTTATTATTATTATTGTTGTTGTTGTTGTTATTATTATTATTGTTGTTGTTCTTGTTATTATTATTATTATTACTACTACTACTACTACTAATATTATTATTATTATTATTATTATTATTTCTGCTATGGACACACTACCTACCAAGTCTGCGGAAAGACCTAAGGCAGGTCGTGGTGTGTTGTTATGGCCACATTTCATGTTAATTTTTTTTTTTTTTTTTTTTTTATCTCCGATGAAGTTGCTAGCGTTACATAGACAAAGTTCTCCTTAGTGTGTGTGCTGTACTTAATAAGACAATTTTCTGTATGTCTCTTAAGCTGGGGTTTCCAGGGATTCTTTCAATGTGTTGTTTTGTTCCATTTTTTATAATTCCAAGTGCACCTATTACCACTGGTATTATTCTTGTTTTCAATTTCCATATTTTTTCTATTTCTATTTCCAGGTCTTTGTATTTTGATAGTTTTTCATTATTATTATTATTATTATTATTATTATTATTATTATTATTATTATTATTATTCCTATGCAACTCTCAGACGATTCAACCGAAGGACAATAGCCTTATCATATCTCCTACCCGCAGCTTAGAAACTTTCAAAATCATTTTTCATTATTTACATGCGGACTACTGTCTTCACCTTTGTTGTTGTTATCACAGCTTTCGACCGATGTGCCCTCCGGCCTTCATCAGTAGCATCTCGGCTAGTGTATAACATAAAGGAATTTCGAACTGAACACTTCATTTTATCTTCGAACGGAGATGATTTTTCCTGTACCACTACCAATAGCGATGTCCTATTTTGTTATTGTTCAGTTATTGCTCGCCCTGTGTCGACCGAGTTCAGGTACACCCTGCCCGGCCCATACCTGCAATAAGATTTAGACCATTAATCTGAATGTAAATCATGATAATTCCTCATCCCCGAAATTCAAACAGCTACAACACGTTTCTCATCACATGAGCTATTCCAAGTAGCGTTTCTACCTGCGTACTTTTAATTATGTCAGGTATGAAGGTATATTGCAATCCAATAAGAATCAAAGAAATATTCCTGAATAAGCCAACCACAAATGGGATAACATGAATTGCTGCTTGGTATACAGGGTGTCCAAAAAATTTGACATCATTTTAAAAGAAATTATCTTGAAAAGTACTAAGTCTAGCTCAATAAATTCGAACAGTTTAAGTGTTGACTATCATAAGTTTATTATGGGACCGACTTCAAGTCGGTAGTTAAGCCGTTGCCAAACACGCGGTAGCATGTCTCTGGTAACATTATCCAGTGCGGAAGTGATTCTCTGCTTTAGTTCATCAATTCAGGAAGAGGAGGGGACATAGACCAGTCTCTTCACATATCCCCATAAAAAGAAATCACACGGGGACACGTCTGATGACATCGGCGGCCATTTCATGAGAAAACTGTCTTCATCTCCCCCACGCCGATCCAACTCTCTGGCAGATTCTCATTAAGATAACAAAAATAAAATATTAAATATAAAATCTTGATCTGTTTTTATACATTTTGTGAAAATTTGAGGTTATTTCAACAAGCATTGCCAAAATTATAGGCCTGCGAAATGTCAAATGTTATGGGAGATTCTGTTTTAAACTACCTGGCCTACGTAGCTCCGTATTTTCGCTTGTTCCGCCATCACGATCTTCTTTTCTTCTTCTTCTTCTTCTTCTTCTTCTTCTTCTTCTTCTTCTTCATTCTCGATCATCGGCGTCTTTTCTGTTTCTTTTTTTCTTTCTCCTTTTTCAACTTTTTCTACTTATTTCCCCTTCACCGACTTTTTCTTCTTTCCTATTCATCGACTTCTACTTTCTCTTTCGTCAATTCCTACATAATCCCTTCTTCTTCTTCTTCTTCTTCTTCTTCTTCTTCTTCTTCTTCTTCTTCTTCTAGTTTTTGTTCTTCTTTCTGCCTCATTGATTTCTTACTCTTATCCTTTCTTTTTCATCGACGCCTTTTCCTTTCATCGACTTCTTCTTCTTTTCTCCTTCGTTGACTTCTTTCTTCGTTTTCTTCTTTTCTTTCTCCTTCATCAACTTCTTCTTCTTTCTTATTCATTGAGCACTTCTCAATCACCCCCTCTTTCTCCTTCATCGAGTCCTCCTCCTTTCTTCTTCATTATTGTCGTCTTCTACTTATTTTTCTACTTCTTTCTCCTTCACCGTGTTCTTCTGTTTCTTTCTTCGTCGACTTCTTTCTCCTTCATCGACTTCTTCCTTATTATTTTCTCCTCACCAATCGTTTTCTCTATCACTCGTATTTTGTACTTTTCTCTAACTACATATGTAGATTCTTTTAAATTTCATACATTTATAATCCGTGTTCATTTGACTATTCGTTTTTGTCCATTACTTTCGTCTCTCCTTTCTATATGTATCCTCCTTTTTTTTACTTCTTCCTTTGAAAGGTTTCCTAAATCTCCACACCAGGTTCAATACCAATTTTTTTATTCCAGCCTCTTTCTCAAAACCGGAACCAATTATAATCTTCTTTATATCATAAAAACACGAAACGGAAGTTTCTCCACGTTGCTCTCTCCCTCGCTATTCTTTGGTCAGTTACTTTCCAATAAACCCCAAATTCCTCGAAAGCCTTTTTTTTCATATTATTTCAGTATTTTCGGGAAACACTGTATGATTTTCCTGCTCCGGCCTTCCACTTTGAAAATTCCATCTATATCACTCCTCCTCTTCTACTTTCCCGCCAATTCGAAATTCAATTGA